AGTTTCAAACAGAAACCGGTTTCATAAAGAGGTTGCGGAAGAGTTTGTAGTACACTATTTGCATGACGTCACACTGTAATGACGTCACTGCCTTGGTAACCGACGTCACGATGCTTGTCAGTTGTCATCGCCTCGTACAGCCTCCTACAGAAAACTACTCCGTAGCACCCCGTTTCTTGGTTTGCAGTTGCTTCATTCGGCTAACATCACTAGTGGAAACATTGCGTTTATGTTTTTCGACGGATATAATGTCTCAGTTCGACTCATAAATAAACAGCGACACGGCAACGTTCGCAATGTTTACATTCCCACAATGCATTTAGGTTGTAGAATGAATGAATTCACGTGTTTGTTAAGAATGAAAAAATAGTTACGTCAGAATGTGACCTAATTGAGAGGTCATCGGTTATCCAATCAAATCGTTAGAATCTCAGGTCAAGTCGTTACGACACAGGTCAACGCGATACGACACTCGTGTGACGTACGAGATTAGTATGCAACTACCCATACGTTGACCACGTGGGTAATAAAACTATTTCTTATAAACATCTAAATTACCTCAATGTTTTATTGTTCGAGTGGTTCTCAAAGTGGTTTTACAAAGTGAAGGGCGATGTGGCGTTGAGATATTTACTAGGGCTAGAACGGTTGGTAATGGGTTGGACCCACTACCCGGACCCGTTATTTTCATGTGATTAATTCATTAAACAATATAATATGTTATTCTTTCATGATAGGTTGTATTGTCTTTGAAGATTTAGACATAATTTACTGTCACTTCTTTTGAATATAATACATGGTTAAGGTATTGAAAAATAGACTTTTTAGCATCCGAGCTGAAGAATATATTGCCATTTCTTGCAAATTTGATGTCAGGGATTAACATAACAGGTATCCGGGTAGGGTAGGGTAAAAGGGGGTGGGGTACCCGGGTAGAAAATTTGGACCCGTCCCAGCGCAAATATTTACCTTATTTCTATATAGATTTCTAAATTAGATAGTTCAGTAATCTAAGGGAGACAACTCTTTATTTAACGGCGCTTATGATCGGATTACCCCACTTGTAGGAAGGAGAGTTTCGCAGCCTTGAATAAAATGACGTCAAAAGAAGATCGGCTGGCATGTTGTTCATTCAGGTGAACGTGACATTAATAACCCTTTATTGGATAAGTGGCAGCCACGCTACAATACTGAGACATGCACCAAGACGACAATGAAAGTGTCAAAATCAGGAATTACACCCCACACAACTCGAATCCTGTTCAAGAGCACAGTTATATCAACTTAGATGTCACATTCACTATTGGGTTCGAACCAACTGGCAATACTAAACAGTTCCACTATATTCCTGTGAAGAATTCTGCTGTCTGTAGTCATTTCCTTATGCATAGTAAATGTAACTCTTCATACCATAAACTTACATAATAACAGTTATTTGAAACGTTATAAAAATAACCCAAAATATACATGTAGCAAATGATATCACGAGAAATGTGATATCACGTATCGCGCGTGGCACGTGCAGTCTGTGCACGATGAACTTACTCATTTTTTGCATGCTTTTTGACACCTGAAGTTCACACACCTGATAAGAATTGAAAATTGAATGACGGTTGATTATTCTCACGCCTGAATGTTGTGGAAAACACCTTAACTTAAACCTAAACTGGGCGTACGTCATGACACAGCTTACAGAAAATCAGCGTTTCCGCGCCGTGGGTATGCTAGAGACTGGAATGGGCCAAAATGAAGTGGCCAGGCATTTTGGTGCCCATCGAAACACGATTTCATCTCTATGGAGACTTTTTCAACACGAGAGATTTGCCTCGGACAGGCCGTCCAGGCATGACGTGACGTCGGCAAGACAACTACATTCGGCCGACCTATCTAAGGAATCGATTCCAGACTACCAGTTTGACTGCTCGGACCATTCCTGGCTTACGTCCAGTCAGTTCCAGGGCCCCGTTCCTCAAAGCGATCGTAGCGCTAAGGTGATCGTAACTCCCATACTTTAACATAGACTTACGACAGTCGTAGCGCTACGCTCGCTTTGAGGAACGGGGCCCAGGACTGTACGGAACCGACTGAGGGAGCACAACATCCGGCCCAAACGGCCTGCAATACGTCCAATTATGCTCCAACATCTCCGACTGGCACGTCTTGCCAGGTGCAAACAGCATCTACCGTACAGAAGACAAGATTGGGATGGCATTGTGCTCACTAACGAGTCGAGATTCACCTGGATAGCTCAGATGGCAGGACAAGGGTGTACAACCAGCGAGGTGAACGGTATGCTGACGCGTGCCTTGTTCAACGTCGACAGTTTGGTGGCGATAGCGTTATGGTACTGGGGATCATCACATCGCATGGTCGGACACAACTTGTCATTGTCAATGGCAATCTGACAGGTCTGCGATACGGGGATGAGATAATTGGACCTCATGTGCAGTCGTTCTTCCAAGGACAGAGGCGTCACTTCACGCTTCAGCAAGATAATGGCCGTCCACATGTCGCTCGTGTTGTGACAGATTTCCTGAGGCGACAGGGGGTATTCGACCCCACAGAGGGTATTCGACTGTACATGAAAACCGGATGTTGCACCTCGGCAACAACCCATTTTCCACTGTACAGTTTTCCAGGGACCACCCAGGTTTCACGTTCTCGGTTAGTTTAAGGTATTCCCCATCTTTAATAAATGCAACACCTTAAATATGACGATATAACGTGTTTCTCCACCTATTTGGAACCAGATGATAATGATAATGTTTCTGTTTTTGTCATAAATGCCTATTTCAAGCGGCTCTCCGACTGAAGCTGACCTAGCGATCACGAAAAAGCTTGATTTACACCTGATATTACACAAGTGATGACCACACGGTGCTTTTGTTCACTTTTACAACAAAATTAGTCTTATTCAAACTCCTGTGTGAAGCTTTAATGCTTATTTCTTAACATTTAGCGAGAAACATGGCAAAATATAGACTGTACGTCTAAACAGACTCTACTATAACAATAGAATAACAATCTTCGCATTCCTTTCTCTCTCCAGACGAAGTTCCTCCCTTGTGGCCTCCAACTGCTGTCTATAGTCCTGGGCCTAGATTTTCGAAGCTCTCTTAGCGCTAAGATAGTCGTAAGTTAATGTTAATGTATGGCACGTACGACTATCTTAGCGTTAAGAGAGCTTCGAAAATCTAGGCCCAGATGGATTGTTATCTTTAGGTTACCATGTACAGGCGATTTAGTGCCTCACTCGGAGAGTGTGGGTTTGAGTGGGTTTGGGATCTGATTATTTGGAGGAGACTCGTGATATAGTAAAGTCCAATGAATTGCTTAAATACATGCCTAGTTGTCTATCAGTATGAGAAACCTCTCTCGGCCAACGTTTTGTTTTTTCAAGGCAGGCATCTGTATATGTAAATACGGTAGATTCTTTCATGAAGATACGACGTGTAATTTGAATAGAACGTGTGTAGTTTGCATTAACTGTTGTAAGGGGACATAAGTCAACATGTCATTGTGCTATAACACGAAGAAAATTAGAATTCATTTCTTCAGTCTTAATTAGTTTTATTCAACATAATATAAATGTTACAAAATATAACATAAACATCTTGAACAATCTACAATATTTAAATAACATTTGTGTATAAATATATTTATAAATATATAGCATAACACCCTTCAACATGTTTTTTTTCAAATATGAAAACAAAAATTCTATAAATGAATCGGGTTTAAATCGTGAAGCAGAAGTGTTTTTAGTTGAAGGTTGAAGCATAGGGGTTATGGAGAACGGGAGATACGCAGGTGTGGCGCGAGCTTGCTCGGTCAAGAGATAATACAAGCAGATGGAAGGGTTCTTTCTTCAAGTAAAATTATGTATTTCACTGCATCAGATTTCAACGGGAGACATTTTGGTGCTGAAGATGAGCTACAGGTACGGAAGTGTAGCTTGTACTTGAACATACGTGTGAGTCTAGATGACCAGGGGACGGCAGGTGTTAGAGCAAGGGGATCATCAGGATGGTATTGAGGATGATGGAAGAAGACTGGTTTTGACGGAAAGATTGTGGAGATTGCCACATCCAGTCCATCCTGTCTAATTCTCCCAATCCATTTATTCATGGCGTCTCCTACTGACAACAGAACCTCTAGACATCCGCCCACTCTCGTGTTTTGCCTGGTGATCGACTGGGACACTGCCGACGGAAGATGTTCCATGGATTGGCGGTAAAACAAGTGGGATCCTGCTACGTCGTCGGCTGGGAGCGTCTTTCCGGGGACCTGATGGTGGGGTGGGGCAGATGCTCGCGGGGGAAGGCAGATGTGTTGGAGAGTTTCCTCCCTTCTTCTCTAAGAACGCTGTCTGCTTGGAGACGTTCACGACTTTATTGTTGTCTGAGATTGGCGGCAGAGATGTCGTCTGCTCATTCCTAGTTTTACCTGTATACGGCCGTCTTCGCGGATGGCCTTCAACTGGAGGAGATGGCATCTTCGGGGTCATTGCTGCCCTCTTCTCCTCGAGTACAAGCATCTGTCCGTCAGCATCGAAGCTTATAGCTTTGAGTATGTTGTTTTCTCTCTCAAGGCGAGTAATTGTATCGTTCATCCGGTTCATCTGCCTCTGGTAGGTATCCAGTTTCTGGAATCGAGCCTTGAGGTCGTTGATCTCAGCCTGGTCCATGGTCCAGCTGAGTTTCAAGTTATTGTATTCGACCCGGTAGTGTTCCAGATCCTTCACAATCTTCGCGTTCCTTTCTCTCTCCAGACGAAGTTCCTCCCTTGTGGCCTCCAACTGCTGTCTATAGTCCTCGTTAAGGCCCATGAGATGATCCACAAAGCTGCAACAGGGAGAAAGAACATTCGGATAACGTATGGAAATGGATGGATTGTCTATTGACTTGCCCTTAAAAGTGTTCCTATGTTTAGAAGTTGAGTATTTGGCTTAACGTGGCACAACACACCTTTCCTCAACGTTGATTCTGTGACACTTTGGAGAACTGTTGACATCAGACTGCGCCACACATTTCTCTGTGTCATCTACAGCTTGACTGCCCGTGTCAGCATCTGAAAGGTTTATAATCCCATATTTGGAAAAGGGTACAGAAGAATATAAATGTCCTATATTTTTTGTTAACTGTATTTTCAATTTGTCAGGTACAGATACTGTCTCATGACAATGTTTTCCAGTTATCTCATGTAAAAGTTCCATGTTTCGTACCATATACCATGGGTTCACTCACCGCTGACTGGGGGAAGGGATGTGGATGGCGACTCCGGGATGGGGGACAGGACCTGTGTTCCTGCCCTCATGGCCAGTCTGTGTAGGTACCGGCCCATCTGGGGAACATAGAAATTATACAGAAACATACGTCAAGAACACACTGATTCTACTCAGAAAAATAAACCATATGTATTGTATATGGGCAAAAGAAAATGTACCGAGTTTACCGTATTTTTTATCAGTATAACGCAAATTTAAGATGTCCTCAATTTGAAAGGAGTACGTTAGACAAAATCGGATGGCAGGTTAGTTTCTTTGCCCTTCTGTTCAGTTTCCATACATCAGATGGCCAGGGTCTTGTTCATTGTGCTTCAGTGAAGAGTTATTTCTTGGTTCAGTCAGAGTACAGTACTGTGTACACGGAACATTTTCGTGTTTTAATGAAGCCGACCTTTTAACAATAAACCCAACTACATGTACTTGACTTTGCTGTCGTTTGTCGTTTTGTTCACTGGCCAAGTCTCTGACCCCCACGCAAAAGGAAGATAGAGAACTACGTATATACATACAACATGATACATACAACATGATACATGATACATACAATATGATACATACAACATGATACATACATATAATAGGCACAAAACTAATCTTCGTAAGATTCCGTAATCCTAAGAAATCTCCACAAACAAATAACCGAGCTTTGGCCGTACTGTAAATACTTACCACTGTCTTCTCATTAAAATGATGGACTCAAATACTTCTTTTAACTGTTCCAAATCCGTATTCCGTAGATACCGGTTGTGATACAAATGCTGGACGTGCGGACAAACAGAACTACTCACCACGCCTCCGACGTGTGATTGTGATGACGTCATGTCACGTGATACCTTGTCGCTGAGGAAGTAGAACACAACGCACGTTGAAATTTGCCGCTCGCGTAACTTACAAAAAGATCGCTAGGATCACTTTGTGGAACGGTGCCCTGATTGTTAGCTGAATCACAGAATCAGTTTCTGACCGAATGGACACCCTCATGTCAGTTATACATTTTTCTTTATGTATTTTATTTGTTTTGAGTACTGTTTTCTTGATAGCTTCATCTACACCATTCGTTGTAAATTGCTTGTATGAAGAGAGGCAAGGATTTTTTGTTGTTTTATTCATTTATTTATACTAAAACAACGGTTTATCTAAACCTGACTACACTGGGTATTTGTTGAGGTCCAGCGATTGTTCAGTGACATGTAGGCACTTTAACTAGGACTTTGATCCTTCAGTGCATGAATCATTTTGGTCAAACCGACCTGTGTTTGTCATATGACTCCAGAAGTATTAATTATCCGGCATTCCACTTCGGCTTTAACCAAATATAACGACTATTTGGGACATATTGTTTTACACAGCTAATACGAGGAATTAAGACTGAAATGTTGACATAGAACGCTCCTAAAACCTACAGATTTTCGCAGTTTGCACGAAATTACAAATACAGTCCTACTGAAAGGAGCAGTTTCGAGCTGTTCAAAGCCGATGGATCTACTAATGTCTGTGAGGAACAACGGTTCCCTATTGTGATTTCTGTGTCTTAAGACTTACTGGTCCATGAGTTATCTCGCAAAATGGTAATTCAGCTGGGACCGGTATACTTACTTATGATCTTCAGTTTATTTATAAAAAAGGTTTACTTTCAAAATTGAATTGTCTCTATACAGATAAAATTAGGAGCAAAGTTTCAAAGTATCACACAACGATTACAATATTCGAATCTACTCTTGTTCATATCTGTTCGGTGTCACGAAGCTGCTACTGTTCACATATGTTCAGTGTCACGAAGATACTCCTGTTCACATCTGTTCAGTGTCACGAAGCTACTCCTGTTCACATCTGTTCAGTGTCACGAAGCTACTCCTGTTCACATCTGTTCGGTGTCACGAAGCTACTCCTGTTCACATATGTTCAGTGTCACGAAGATACTCCTGTTCACATCTGTACGGTGTCACGAAGCTACTCCTGTTCACATCTGTTCAATGTCACGAAGGTAAAACGTACACTGTCATGTATTTGCGGCTTATATTTCTGTGTCTTCCCTCAACGAGAGACAGGTTTATTTATATGTTTGCGAAATATTGAAGCAAGGAATCATATTGTTTCATTTCATCTCGGGTATCATGCCGCAGATTCCACACCTCAGTATCGTTTCATATTTCTCAAACAAGAGCCATATAGAAATCTACCCCCTCAATTATATTGCTAGGTATAACTTAATTTATAAGTTGCAGTTTGCCGACAAATAAGTGATTTGAAGATAGCAATGCCTGCAGTTGTATCGCCTTTATCCACGAATTCTCTTTTCACACGTGGTCGTATAACTACTCATCACTCGTATCCCATGAATCCACCGTACCCTCACTTGTAGCCAAAGGAGATAAGAACAACCAAATATTGGCACTTTGCAGGTTGATTTGACAAGAAAAGTATATATGATACCTGGAAATCCCGGAATAATACCATGTGTTACATTCTGTTAACAGCGGTACGCACTTGCATTGTTTAATTTCTTTTTGTGAATGTATCAAACTGACAGAAATATTAATGCCCCTAAATGCATTCACATCAGAAGCCGACGCGACGGAAACCAGATGATCGGTATGCCTATGACGTCATAGACGAGGAGTGACGTCCTAAACATGTAATGACGTCACTAGCAAGGGGGCCGTTCGGTTGTTGACCTCTAACCCGAAGCTGTAAAAAATCAAGTAATAATGTCCGAGAAGAAGAAGATTAAAAAGAAACCAAAGATGCACCGCGCCTACCAACCCGTGACCCCTGCCAACAACATATACCTGAAACAGAGATGGGATCAGGATATATTTTTTGTTCACAGACGGAAGGTGGAAGCGGGTGGGTGGAACAAATTACATGTTTTGTCAACATCTGATGGCTATTTACATTTGCTAGTAATTTAAAATGCGTTCTCATATCTATCGCTGAATCTAATTTGACGGTTATTTATGATAAAGTTAGTCGTAGACATGTGACTCATGTGAATGTTGTTTTCTAACGCAGGAAATATTACAGTGACGTGTCACATACGCACGGCCTGTAAATAGCAAATCAGTGGTTCACAGTCAAGTCAAAATGTTCGGGTTTATGTACATACAGTTTAGAAATGTTACCTTACCACAATATATGTACAAAGTGTAATGCATTTGACTTTAACAATAACTCTCACAACTCCAGAAGTATGAGCTTGTATCCGAATGACACATATGTCCCCCTGCTTTACGTCAATTTGAAGTGGATTAAACTCAAACATGGCCGCACACTAAATGCACTTTGCACTCATCAGTAGGCAGTTAACAATTCTTTGAGATCAGCCATCAAACCTTTATGCAAAACAACTGTAAACGACATGTGAAATGTAGGTAGTTGTTCACTATCCTCGGTCGTATTCTGTATGTGCATGTTTTGCAATGTAGATAATTAGATTCAGTTACAAAACTATCACATTAGTGACCAAAAGTGATAGTGTCTGTACTTTTTCAAAACGGGACAACTAAGAAATCTCACAAGTGAGACAAGAATCGTTTAGTACAGTTTACGAAACACGCACACACAAGCTTAATTTCCGCCATATTGTTTCTAAACCCAGGATTCGTGTTCTGTATGCTAGTTCAAGTGTGGCACTTATTTTCAACTTATTAAACATCATTCCAAAGTCATCCATACAAAAAATTAGGCAACCCACAGAACTGTCTGTTGTTAATTTCAAATCATTTTACATCGATAGATTAGAAAATCCTTTTTGTACATATTATTGTATAATTAGAGGTATAATGTTCACTTTTCATTAAGCACCAAACGTTTTCCATAAGTTAAATGGTTATCGGAGGCCAATTTTAATCCGGAGTCTCCACGGAGGGCCATCAGAGTGTTGGCTCATCAACATCATACTCTGTGTTCCAGCCAAAGCTGTGATAGACAACAAGCCGCCTAAAACATACATGCACCTGTACATCAAGCTGAAGAAACTCCAGGTAAACTCATTAGTCTGCCTTATATTTTCAGCGCATGAACGTGCAACAGTCTAATATGTAAGATCAGATACGCTTCTCATTATCGCAACGACTCCATGGTCTAGCTGTAGAGCATGTGAACAGAGAGTGGGCGGTTCCCTGGCTGATACAGACTTTTAACAGATGGTATTTGTTGTTCCTCTGCCTGGCATACGGCGTAATGGGGATAAGACAATTACTGGCCGACTCGTGGGTTTCTATTGATTATAGTGTGTTGTACCTGGCTATATATGTATGTAGTTCTTCATGTATGATTGCCAGTGTGCCTGCCTGCATAAAATCCTGTGGTGACATGTGTGTCTGTAGATGGAGGGCGAGCGTCTCGCCATCGTGGAGCGGGACAACCGCATTCTCCTGGAGAAGATGGCACACATCATGAGGACAGGCGGCATGGTCGACAACGTCAAGCAAGACTACACGCACAAGAGGTAAGGGAGGTAACTCAAGCCCATGTCAAACAGCACGGATGGATATTTTATACGACTTCTTTCACAACAAACTCATCTTCTATTAAATAGGTTCTGGAATTAATATTTTTACGGTATCAAGAGTGACATCGATCTTTGTCTGATACATATTCAGCTTGAACAAGACGAAACGGCAGCGGGAGTTGTTACGGATCACATACGAGAATATGGCCATATTGAAGAGAATCAACGCCAAGGAACCGCACTACAAACACATGAAGTGGGAGGCTGAGCATCACGTAAGGGAGGCAACTCAAAATCGGTCACATGTGATCCAAAAGGTGGTTGGGTTGGCAAGAGGTCATGGTGTTCACTGTCAAGCCGAAGGATGCATGGGTTCTGTTCACCACAATAGTACAAAAGTTAATGTCACGTTCCTTGCTGGTGAAATATTTCTAAAAGCGGCGTGAGACTTGGACGGAGCCATTCCTTGTTTCCAGTATAAGTAATATTATACACCGGGGAGATCTTTCCCATTTACCTAGTGTGTTCCGTTTACATGGCAATCTTTGGAAGGCAACATATGTTTTATTGATAAGCAGTTTTTAGTTGTCAACATCATCATTATTGGAATCGCCTTCTGGATGTCATCATAGAGGGTCTTTTAAAATAATGATAATGACGACGTTTATGATGAAGTCGCTGATGATGACGACAACGACCACGTGTATGTGTACTCTAATGGTGCTGTTATGGTCCTCTGTTACAGTGTAACCAGTCCTACATGATGAATATATCCAAATACCCTCATCACTGGCGGAAGGAACAAGAATGTTATCGTCTGCGGAAGCAGCAGCAGGTGGCGGCCAACAGGCGCATCAAGGACCAGGTGGGCTTTGTTCTCTACACCCTCACAACAGACAGCTTATTTTACGAGTATTTTTCGGTTGTTTCCAGTAAAGTTCAGCGACAAAGAACGTAAAAACGCAGACAGTACACAAAATACTGGGGGACTAGTACTCCTGGATATTTCTTTGACGTACCGCCCTCCAGGCCTCACACCCAAAGTCCTCGTGTCCGACAACCCCACTCCTGGTTCCTCTGCCTCCCACGCCCACATCCCCCAACTCCTAACGCTCCAAAGCCCTCACGCCCCAGTTCCTGCGATTGATGCACGCCTGAGCTCTCAATATTGTAACGAAGCTTGTACTCCTAGCAACCAAGGGGCCTAATGCTGCACTCTTGAATATCGTTAAACGCGTCATTTTCATTTATCAAAAAATTAATATTACGGGTCTTTTTGTGTCTGGGAAATTTAAATTGTATAACTTGCGCACATTCTGTGTCGGTCCGCTTAGCTGGCACACAGTCACTGCACACGTCGCGTCAGACCTAGGCTCGATTCCCCACATGGTTACAAAGTGTGAAGCCCATTTCTGGTGTCCCCCACCGTGATATTGCTGGATATTGCTAAAAGCTCAGTTAGCATTATATCTGTTGTCTATTTAAACATTTACGGTATTCCCATCTTCATCTAGTTGTTCCCTGTTGCAGGTGCTGATCCCTGACAAGGCCCTGCCCAAAGACTCGCTGCCTCCTTTACAGTCTAAGTAGAGTGGTTAGAGCATGTCGCCGTGTCTTTTTACACATAATATACAGATTTATATACTTGTTTATCTTTATAGTCCAAACTGTATTTATTCCATGTATTTTCTAGTTGTCTGACTGTGGAAATATATTCCATGGTCGGCATGTATTCTGGGTGTGTAATAAATGTAACGAGATGAGTCCTTGGTCTTCTTTACCATCATGTGACGTGACCTGGTGTTGCAGCATCAGATAATGTCGAGTTAGGTATACACAGTAAATATACAGTACAACCAGAAATTATTGAGAATTTAAAGATTGTAATTTTTATATTTTTTTCACTCATTACTCACGTATTAAATGTAAATATTAGCAGAACATAACTCCAGATTCAAAGACAGGTGAACAGTTAGTATTTTGTCAGGTCACCATGGGCAGCAATGCAGGCTTCAACGCGGCGGGGCATACTACTGATCAAAGAAGTTAGAAAGGCGTGGTCCATGCTGTCCCAATATCGGACCACCTCTTCTGTCATTTCAGCAATATTTGTCAGATTTTTCTTATTGACACCTTCCTTCATAAGTCCCCAAACATTTTCTATTGGATTTAGGTCAGGGCTATAGCTTGGCCAATCTAATAATGTCATATTTTGGGTCCGAAACCAGGCCTGTGAATGCTTTGAACGATGTTTTGGGTCGTTGTCCTGCTGGAAAATCTAAACATTTCCATAGAACACGTGAGCAGATGGAAGTAAATGTCCCTCGAGAATATCTGTGTACCGCTCACTGTTCATATTCCCTTCAAATACAAAGAGGGACGTTGCCCCTAACACAGATATGCCACCCCACGCGTTAAATTTCGGACTGTACTTTGGGCGCTGATATAAAGGTTTTTCAGTTGTTTGGTCCAGAATTTCAGTGTATTAGGAAAACAGCCACACAGAACTTTCATCTGAGAAAATCACATTGTCCCAGTTAAGATTTCTATGCTGTAAGCACCAGTTCAACCTTCACTCCTTTTGTTCAGGTTTCATGATCGGTGATGGAATTCCTCGACTTTTCTGCCAACCCATTGCATGCAGCTCAGTTCTAATTGTCTCCTTACAGACAGCCACAGTTCCTCTATCAATCATATCCAGCCTTAAGTTTTCTAAACTCCTTCGTTTGTTTTTAGAAACAAGAATACCAACCGCCTCCTGTCACCGACAGTCAATTTTCTGGGCCTACCTGCGCCTCCCTGGTGCTCAGTGCCATATCCATTTGCAATATTTTTCAAAACACGATAAACAGTGGACAAAGGGATGCCTGGGCCCCGTTCCTCAAAGCGATCGTAGCGCAAAGTTGATCGTAACTCCCATACTTTAACATAGACTTACGACTGTTGTAGCGCTACGATCGCTTTGAGGAACGGGGCCCTGTTCTACTTGAAATCACTTTAGCTGATCTGATGTCCTTGTTATAATACTCTAAAATCAACTTCATCTTCTCTAAATCATCCATACTGAGGATCACTGAAAATGTCGTCTGCTAGCAAGTAAACAAAGGGGGATAACTCTTCACAAACTAATGAAAAAGGATTAACGGAGTTGTCTCTCTTGAATTAAACCAAGCACTTGATAGCTGGTCAAGGTTGTTTATACTAGATATCCAATTCAACATATTCCTAAAATTCTCAATAATTTCTGGTCATACTATAGTTGTTTGAACTCGCCGATAAACGTAACACAGGCCCGTGCTTGTGGCTTGTTATAAACGTATATGAGCGGTAAGATTGGAAGCTGTATGCTACTGATGCGACTAGGCTCAAGAGCGTGTGCGTGTGCGCGTGAGTGTGCGTGTCTATGTGTGTGCGCGGTGAGAGTATCAACAAGACGATCACTCTCTTCTAGACAGTGAGAGTATCAACAAGACGATTACCCCCTTCAAGACGGTGAGAGCGTCATCAAAATGATCATACACCCTTCATACACTCTCACCGCCTTTAAGGTTGGGTGATCACTTGCCCCAAATCCGCAACTATTTACTTCGACGGCTGCTACACAATCGCAATAATTGCACGCTTCTTTGATTGGCATTCTAGAAGTTTGGAAGATGAAGAAAGAGGACAATTTTTATGGATATACAACTTCTTTATTCTGCATAGGCGACGTTTCGACATAGATTCTAACGTCGTTGTCAAGCAAGTGGTTGACAACATTAGAATCTATGTCGAAACGTCGCCTATACAGAATAAAGAGGTTGTATATCCATTAACATAGTCCTCATTCTTCAATAATTGCACAGTTGTAAATTCAAGCTGATAAAGTGTCTTTCCAATAGATATTCCACTGGTAAGGTTTTTACAGTGTAATTTATTCATCACTGGTGTTTCAAGGTTGAAGATAAGTATACAATAAATGATAAATCCAGAAATCACTTCTATTGTGATATACAAGCATAACGATAACGATGACAACATAGTGTCCGATGACGAGGTCCGCTATGGGTATGGACTCTTCCATGCGAGGGATGTAGCAAGACATCCTCGCAACACGTTGTACCAACAAATACATGTGTGTCGATTTGAGAGAGCATATACTGAACAAAAAAAGAAACTACACACTTGGGGAAATGAATTGTATTGAAATTGGATAGCACAAGGCAGTTACTATGGGCGAATACCATATAATGGCCAGGTATAACCTGACGCACCCGTCCATTTCAACTGTGGTGAACTACGTGGGGTGAAAGCAGAACGCACTTTTGTGAAAACGCGAACCTGCACATGTGTGGGGTCACGTGACCACAATTCCATGTGTCTAGCAACAACACGTTTGCAGAATGTGCTTGTCATTAAAAAAACACGTCGACGATCCTTGACAGATAAACAATTCTCATGCCACGCCTTACAAATGTTCTACGTGAACGTGCATGTCCCAAGGCTGGCCAGTCTGTAGTGGCTGTTGCACGTGCCATATGATGCAGTAGACAGACACACAACCTGTGGAAACCCTGTGCACCAAACAGGTACGACATATGATCGCCCTAGGTCAGAACGGCCACGTGTGACGTCAACCAAGTTTGGCTGCGTCATTTTATCGTTCTACGACCGCAACGTCAACCAGTAACGCACTGTTTAGGGTCGCTAAACTGCCAAGACCAAAGGAAACCGCTTGTGCGCTGCCCATCTTCGTGCACAAAGTAATTTTTGGGGGGTTGATGCTGACACAAGTAAACCGTAATTAACGTCTGCACTGCATGGTCACAACTGCGCCTGCAAACTGCAGGTATTGACGTCACTGGGCGGCCATCAAGATCACCTGGCCTCGATTCCATCGAACACGTATGCTCTTGGAAGAAAGCTTTGTGCCTTGAGACGTCACTCCCAGAATGTTCAAGAGGTGGACGCCATGTTTGTACAGCAATGGAGCAGGTTGTCTAATGCCGTGTTCGCGGGTGTTAAGCAGTCAGTGAGACAACGTTGACATGCTGTTGTGAATGCGTGAGTGGGGTATACGCAGTACTGAACAAGCTCCAATACAGATGGCTAGTCCCGTGAAATAAAAGAATGACCCCATCGTGCTATTGTCGACTGTGGAGGGTGCACCAAGCCCACCTTAATGCCTAATCCTGTTTTAGTGTATATTACGTCCATAAACCAGATTTGTCCACTAGCAACACATTTTGTTCTATGTGGGTATGTTTGGGGCAAAACGTAACACATGTGAAGCTTCTTTTTTGTTCAGTATATTTGATTCGATACTGCTACACACTAGGAGCTTAAAAGCTCGGCTGCAAGGGATGGTGTTTGTTTATGCATTATTTGATGATTTATCACACAGATGCTTGGACGATGTCTTGAACCAGCACCATTGGTTTGAAACACACTGTCAATTGGTTATAGCACTTGCAACACAGTCAGGGATTGGTTCTTTTCAAGAATGTCCGGGTACAATATTGTGTCGGCCCCACAGTAGGCTACGACAGTGCGCCAGTAAAACGTGCAGTCTATATCCAGTTTACGTACACACTGAGACACGTGGAGCACGTGCGGGTTAATATCAGTTTCCGTACATGCTGAGACACGTGAAGAAAGTGCAGCCTGCTTGTAACTTATGCAAACACAACGACTGTGCACCTGAAGCACGTGCACTATATGCAGACTTTATAAAAACACCAAGACGACGCACCTGTTGCACGTGCAGTCTGAAGATTGTAATATATACACGCATCTGCCGGAATTCTCTATTCAGTCTATTTGTATAAATACTGCATCTCTAAGGCAGCTTCGTATTCCCGCGCCTTTAGACGCAGTGATGTCAGACTGTCTGCTCGTCTGCTGTTGGGAACGGTTCCAGGAAGGCATGCTTGGTAATAAAGGAAAGGCGGGATTCCAAAGTGAGGCTGAAGGAGGGTGTATGGCGGCGGCACTATACTGAGAGATGGGGACTTCTCAAGATCAGGAGATTCGTCGCCGGACTTGTCTCCAGAATCCACTTTCCTGGACGGTTTCTGAAACAAAAGGATCTTCATTGTCAAAATGCGCTATATCGTTTGGATCCACTGCTAACAGTGCAATGTAATATCTAATCTTAACTGCAGCTGTAGTCAACGGTCTTTAGATGGACGAACAAACCAAACATCAATAGTGATATACAGTGTATACTATCTGCACGTGTGTATGGTGGACAGTTTATACTATCTGCACGTGTGTATGGTGGACAGTTTATACTATCTGCACGTGTGTAGAGTGGACAGTTTATACTATCTGCACGTGTGTATGGTAGACAGTTTATACTATCTGCACGTGTGTAGTGTGGTGGACAGTTTATACTATCTGCACGTGTGTAGAGTGGACAGTTTATACTATCTGCACGTGTGTATAGTGGACAGTTTATACTATCTGCACGTGTGTATAGTGGATAGTTTATACTATCTGCACAGTGTATCTGCAGAGTGGACAGTTTATACTATCTGCACGTGTGTAGAGTGGATAGTTTATACTATCTGCACGTGTGTAGAGTGGACAGTTTATACTATCTGCACGTGTGTATTGTGGACAGTTTACACTATCTGCACGTGTGTAGAGTGGACAGTTTACACTATCTGCACGTGTGTAGAGTGGACAGTTTATACTTTCTGCGGATAAGCCTTGGATGGTTGACCATGTTTGGCAGCTTTATTCCTGAGTTTCCAGGACTTCAGTCCTGCCCCACACCGAAACACGTGATACATGTGATCTCACCTTAGGCAAGTGAGTTTGTTCAAATTTGCCTCTGTTCACCAAGCAGAAAAATCGGTACCCGGCTGGATAAGTCATGTGACTAAAGCCTTCTAGCGCCTAACAGGCAGCTTGGGTTATCCGGGGTAATAATGTTGTGCTGTTTGTACGCGCTTTGAGCATACCCCTTTGTGGTGCGGTGTAAGTACCCTCATTATTATTATTACGTGTGTACTGTACCTTTTCCTCGTCTAGTCTGATGACGGTCTTTGGTGCAGGGACAAAGCTGACTTCCTTCAAATCCTGTAAGCCCCCGAAGTTGCCAAGTTTCTCGTGCTTCCGCCATTTGGCCCGCCTGTTCTGGAACCAGATCTGAGGAGAGGACAGTATGGATTTACATGACTGCATGGATAGGGCAGGATCTAGCAGATCATCATCGTAGATCTTTACACAACGCTCCATGCAGACCCCGCAAATCCTCCAACAATGCTCCATGCAGACTCCACTCTCTCCTCCATCAATGCTCCATGCAGACTCCACTCTCTCCTCCATCAATGCTCCATGCAGACTCCACTCTCTCCTCCATCAATGCTCCATGCAGACTCCACTCTCCTCCATCAATGCTCCATGCAGACTCCACTCTCTCCTCCATCAATGCTCCATGCAGACTCCACTCTCTCCTCCATCAATGCTCCATGCAGACTCCACTCTCTCCTCCATCAATGCTCCATGCAGACTCCCTCTCTCCTCCATCATTGCTCCATGCAGACTGCAGACCCTATCTCTCCTCCATCAATGCTCCTCTCCTCCATCAATGCTCCATGCAGACTCCACTCTCTCTCCTCCATCAATGCTCCATGCAGACTCCACTCTCTCCTCCATCAATGCTCCATGCAGACTCCACTCTCTCCTCCATCAATGCTCCATGCAGACTCCCTCTCCTCCATCCATCAATGCTCCATGCAGACTCCACTCTCTCCTCCATCAATGCTCCATGCAGACTCCACTCCACTCTCTCCTCCATCAATGCTCCATGCAGACTCCACTCTCTCCTCCATCAATGCTCCATGCAGACTCCACTCTCTCCTCCATCAATGCTCCATGCAGACTCCCACTCTCTCCTCCATCAATGCTCCATGCAGACTCCACTCTCTCCTCCATCAATGCTCCATGCAGACTCCACTCTCCTCCATCAATGCTCCATGCAGACTCCACTCTCTCCTCCATCAATGCTCCATGCAGACTCCATCTGCTCCATGCAGACTCCCTCTCTCCTCCATCAATGCTCCATGCAGACCGTTCTCTCTCCCATGCAGACTCCACTCTCTCCTCCATCAATGCTCCATGCAGACTCCACTCTCTCCTCCATCAATGCTCCATGCAGACTCCACTCTCTCCTCCATCAATGCTCCATGCAGACTCCACTCTCTCCTCCATCAATGCTCCATGCAGACCCCGTTCTCTCCTCCATCAATGCTCCATGCAGACTCCACTCTCTCTCCTCCATCAATGCTCCATCAATGCAGACCCCACTCTCTCCTCCACCATCCATGCAGATGCTCCATGCAGACTCCGCTCTCTCTCCTCCTTCAGTGCTCTATGCAGACTCCACTCTCTCCTCCATCAATGCTCCATGCAGACCCCGTTCTCTCCTCCATCAATGCTCCATGCAGACTCCTCTCTCTCCTCCATCAATGCTCCATGCAGACTCCACTCTCTCCTCCATCAATGTTCCATGCAGACCCCACTCTCTCATCCATGAATGCTCCATGCAGACCCGCTCTCTCTTTCATGACTGCTACAAACTTTGCTCTCTCTCTCCTTCATCGGTGCTTACACACGCACGCGCTCACGCACGCACGCACGCACGCACGCACGCACACACACACACACAACCACATCCCCCTACCCCCTCACCTGCACTCTTTCCTCTGACAGTCCCGTCTTTCTGGACAGGTCGTCCCTCGTGTTGATGTCGGGGTAGTGTGTCACCTGGAACACATGCTCCAAGGCCTTCAGTTGCTCCGAGGTGAAGGTCGTTCGAAAACGTCGCTTCTTAGACACTGGTCCCTCTGTTCCTGCTGCAGTAAGGTTTAATCGACGTTACATTGAGCAACATGCGCATACTGGACACTCAGCATATGTCAGTGTTATGAGGTTCTAGTCATGCATCAGTAAACACAGCACTCACCACTATCGGGACTCCTCTTGGTCTCCCTGTTCATCAGATAGTGGTCCCCTGCTGCTCCCATCCGAGTCTCCCCGGTGCCCCCCTGGGGTAGGGACGTGTTCAGGGGGTCTCCAAGACCGTGGGTTTGGGGCAGGCTGCTGCCACCACTGGTTGGGCTGCCCTCGGGACTCGCCGAACAACGGAGGGAGGAACATCTCCGAGTGTCCGAATCTGGAAGTAGAGCAGTGACGTCAGCGATATTCTGGGTCTTCTAGTTCCCAACACACACATACTGAAACTATTTTCTTGTGAACATCTGTGATAGAATATGTATATTTACATATAACGTACGCTCTCATTGGCCTAAACAAAATTGGATGATTTACACTTTGGAATTTATTATTTGTTTGAATCACTATACCATGCAGAAATTAATGAATACCAATTATGAACTGCAATAAAACAATATAATTCTGGGACAGCACGTTATTACAATTCTATAAAATCTTGTAGATTGAGCGAAATCTCGTAAACCTGTCTCTCTTAATCCCTCTCTCAACAGCAATTACGGGAGACATAATTTAAACTACAGCGCCCCAGAACACCGGCACAGATCCTACAAATTCAGCTGTCACTTGTTATCTACGTAATTTAAACTGGCGCGTATCTTAGGAAGAATCACCGATGTCCAAATCATTGACTCGAGGAACACAGCTCGTTGAATTGGAGTTGTTTAGTCCTGAATTGTACAGCACTTCAACGATATCGTATTGATAATCCCTGCCCAATATGGCAGTAATCCGTGGCTACCTGCTAATCCTTCCGTCCATACACATCACAGAGGCTATCTGATCTACATCAGGGCGAGAATTATCCGAACACAACACATTTCTACTTTATTGCCTCCCTTTAATATAGCTGTGTTCTTCTATCAGACCTTTACCATTGTTGTCTCAGTTGACAGTGTGTTTGGTTTTCAGTGTATATTTAACCTGCAAGACCAGAGGTGACTGTACCTATTTGACCAGTGAACACTCTAACCACTGGGCCATCGAACATAACCTTATTAACGATTTATCATTGCAGTACAAGCGTGTCACTGTGGTTGTTATGCCCATCCTTTACTATAACAGAGGGGTAATATGTATTGTAAACGGTGCATTTTGAGATTATTTCACCTCAATTGACCTACAAGTAGATTTGTGCGGTGGGCGTGTTTATCTGTCCGGTATTCAATTCACACCTGATAACAAGTCAAATCGGCTGGTCCTAACAACCTCATAGCTTATGTGAACAACACAATATGTTTCTGTTTTCATTATCTCGTTATTAGAGCGATTATCTCAGCCTGTCCAATCAAAACCTCGCGAGATTTAAGGTATCTTTAGCGTCACTATGAGTCTTTCTGTCCCTCTTTCATCCGAGCCATTCATCAACCCGCCATCTTGATTTTCACGTCAGCGGCTGAGGTTCAAAGTCGTACAATGTTTTATGGTTCAAAGATCGAGTGAGATGATCGCTTTTTGTTCAGCGATCAAAGCCGGCTCTAATTTAATTACAAAATTCTTAACCGGAACTCATCATAAACATGTCATAATTTTGATAAAAGAGAAAATATTCGGCACAATCGAACGCCATTTCGTACTGCCGTGTTACCAAGCAGCACACACGCTTGGTGGAACCTTCTTATAATCCGTACAAATAGGGACATTCATTGGAGCTATAAAGCTTTCGGGTTGTCCCTTATCTCAATTTGGAGTTGGATTTATTCTTTGTTTAAAAATTCCTCCTTTGATTTCAGGTTCCTGTATCGTTCCTCGTGTGGTGGGAAAACAAGCTTTAAACTCGGCATTTTATGAAGGCTTGTTGACACGTTTTGATTTAACACTGTAATAATTGTGATAACTGTTAAACGGACCACACCGTCTACCACCGCCATTCTAACGGGTCAATAGATACTAAAGCTCCTGAACAAGCAAATCTTAATTATTGAGTAAACACTGACACTGCATAGCCCAGCTACTTCACAAAACGAGGTAAAAAATATAAGGTTAAGAGTGTTTTGAGATTGTGCTCTTGACCCATGGAAGCAGAGTGTAGTTGACAAGCCGAGACCCAGAAGTAGAACGCTGTCTAACATTATCCAGCTATCTTGCGGGGAAAATGCTTGCAGTCTGATGGTAATCTACAATACATAAATCGTGAAATCCATCCTCCTGTATTTATTAAACTCTAGTCTATTTAAATGTCATGTGACCTCAACTGCCACCATTATGTCTGTGGTTAGCTTGTTCCCATGTTTAGCCTTAAAGCGTGGATAGATGTCTCCACCCCGTGTTTCAACATGTATGCGTTGATAGATGTCTACCCCACACGTTTCTACCTGTATGCGTGGATAGATGTCTACCTCACAAGTTTCTACCTGTTTGCGTTGATAGATGTCTACCTCACAAGTTTCTACCTCGGTGCAAGGATAGATGTCTACCCAACAAGCTTCTACCTGTATGCTTGGATAGATGTCTACCCAACACGTTTCTACCTGTATGCGGGGATAGATGTCTATCCCACATTATTTACCTGTATGCGTGAATAGATGTCTACCCAACATGTTTCTACCTGTTTGCGTAGATAGATGTCTACCCCACAGGTTTCTACCTGTATGGGTGGATAGATGTCTACCCCACAGTATTCACCTGTATGCGTGGATAGATGTCTACCCCACAGGTTTCTACCTGTATGCGTGGATAGATGTCTACCCCACAGGTTTCTACCTCGGAGCGTTGATAGATGTCTACCCAACAAGTTGATACCTCGGCGCGCGGATAGATGTTAACCCAACACGTTTCTACCTGTATGCTTGGATAGATGTCTACCCCACACGTTTCTACCTGCATACGAGGACAGATGTCTAAAACAATGACACAGCACACCGACACAGTGTTTGGTAGAAAGGTTGCTTTCCGCAGTGGGACATCAATACACAGGCTCACCATTGGTCAGTTAAAAATATTACTTCCGATTGTATAAGACACATCCTGTCGGTCAACAAACAATTGCTTTTGTCAATATTATAATAAAGGACCTTGAAATGCATCTACAGGAAATGAATGAGTTGACAAATATATCTTGGGAAGGAAGACGTAAATTAATTTCCTCAATGGCCCATTCGATGCTCTCTGTTTTCCCACAGATCCAAGTCAGTTACACAATTAAGTCGTTAACTTGTAAGCGTCACCATTAGAAACTATTTGCATCACACCATGCGAGAACATTCATGGAGACAATCTGGGCATTTCACAGCTAAATATTTTCAAATCAGTTGATCTGGAAAACAATTCAAAACTTCTACAAGTGGTTTGCCTTTGTGTCCACAGTGTGACAGTAGTTACCAGGCACGGACAACACAACGACAGTCACCTTCTACATAGAGTCTGTCGTAGATTGCTTGTCACCAATTACCAACAATCACACATCAATATCACATTGTAGACGGCTTATTGTACGCCGCAGTCGGAGACGAACGATGTGACAGTACCGCAGTTTTCGTGCTGCATTGATTCCTCTTAGAGTCAGGGTTGGCGCTAATTAATTACCCAGCATACCTGTCCATGTGAACGCTGCCCTGTCCCTAATTGCAATTTATCGATTATAGCACCTTTCTCGTGGTCCTCTGTCATTTCCGGAACAAGCCAAATTAATTTGTCATCAGGTTTTCCGATGTATTATACCGATATCGAACACGCCATTGCTACTCATTAGACCCAAATTATCATTTTAATGATCCATGTGCACTTAATTTTCTGCCTGGTTATTTCCAGCCAACACTTCCCCTGTCCAGCCGCTAAGCCTGGGTTACAGTGCTGCCAACGTTTACCACTGTCAATGGGCGATCTACAGTTTTCGGTGGAGACAGAACTATTTTGTAAACGTTTTGCAAATGTTCTGGAAAGATAACTTCGTCTGACGTAGTGTTCTGAGAGATGGTCCAGTTTAGTTTGACCTAGATACTGACACGTGATGCAAAAGACGTAATTCACTGAAAAGATGTGTTATTTCATTGAAACAGGACAGATAGAATTGCGGTCGCTTCTTATAAACATACCCCAAACAGTCCATTAATCGTCCATTTATTTCTGGAATATTGTTTTGGACATCGCAAAATGTTTGCAACAAAGTGGTCATGTCACGTTGGTTTATGAATAGGTCATAACCTCAAGTTACACATTCGAAATTCTGTTACATCGTCAAATGAAGTAGTTGCGTTTCTTTTATTTACACAAACCAGGAACCTGTGATTCTGGGGTCGTATCTCTAATATTCGTTGGTAATGTTTCTGGTTTTGTCAGCAACATGTACGCCATGGAGTGGGGAATGATGGGCGTGGTCTCTAGGGGAGGACATACAGAGGTTCATCCAAAATATACCATGCATTATCGGATGGCAACCCCCATCCCTATACCTGTATTTCTGTAATAGAGGCCGGTCTCTACCTTCAACAATGTTCGAAGCTGAGTTATAAACCAGACTCACTATCTTGAAGCTGTAATTTAATTCCTGAATTCATTCACATCCGAAGTCATCCGGGTTTACCATCAAATGGGGTTGAAGCACCTATCCTTCCGTTTCTCTTCAACTAATATCGGCAGACACATAGACGCGCACATTTCCTATTCCGTTTGATTCCGCAATTGGCCGATTATTCCCGAAGACGTGCCTCTACAATGAGGGATTGAGACATTCATTACTGAATGTTGACTTATATCCACTAGTATTTAATCGTCTAATAGTAAACACGTACTTGAAAAAAAATCAGCTGACTATTTCTAGTAATTAGAGTCAATTAGCTAATTAGATTTCCACAGAGCTATTGTGTGCATTTTTTTGGATCGATTGATGGTGTGTGAAATATGCATACAGAGGCTACACGTGGATCTTGATGCACGGCTAAAATACACACGTATAAACATACCAACGCAACATCGCACATATTGACAGTATGTGTCGATAATGTGTATAACTCTAATTTTAAATTTCCCAAGTTAATTAATTAGCGACTAGGTTGGGTGGATGCATCAAAGGGGAAGATTCAAAACAGATGTAAACAGCAGTTTATATTAATTAGTTCATTAGTTTCCTATGTCCCGGACCTGGGCACGTTCACAAAACACAGTACAACATGTGTCTTACGTGGAACCAAATCAATATGAGGAACAGAGTGACAAGAAACGGCG